GAGAGCGCATGTGTGTGTGTGTGAGAGCGCATGTGTGTGTGTGTGAGAGCGCATGTGTGTGTGTGTGAGAGCGCATGTGTGTGTGTGTGAGAGCGCATGTGTGTGTGTGTGAGAGCGCATGTGTGTGTGTGAGAGCGCATGTGTGTGTGTGTGAGAGCGCATGTGTGTGTGTGTGAGAGCGCATGTGTGTGTGTGTGAGAGCGCATGTGTGTGTGTGTGAGAGCGCATGTGTGTGTGTGTGAGAGCGCTGTGTGTGTGTGTGTGAGAGCGCGTGTGTGTGTGTGTGAGAGCGCGTGTGTGTGTGTGTGAGAGCGCGTGTGTGTGTGTGTGAGAGCGCGTGTGTGTGTGTGTGAGAGCGCGTGTGTGTGTGTGTGAGAGCGCGTGTGTGTGTGTGTGAGAGCGCGTGTGTGTGTGTGTGAGAGCGCGTGTGTGTGTGTGTGAGAGCGCGTGTGTGTGTGTGTGAGAGCGCGTGTGTGTGTGTGTGAGAGCGCGTGTGTGTGTGTGTGAGAGCGCGTGTGTGTGTGTGTGTGTGTGTGTGTGTGTGTGTGTGTGTGTGTGTGATGTAGTAATTAAGAGATCTAGATAGAAAAGATACAATAAGAAAGAGCTGCTGTTTGTAAATATCTAAGCATTACAATGTCACTGTTGTAGACAAAATTACCATGAAAGTTTATTGATCTCTTGACAGATCCAACAGAGTAAGTGGCAAGCTACACAGCTAACAACAGACTGGCGTGGTTCTGACTTCACCGCATCAGTCACTTTGGGTAATATAGATGTGATCAATGGTTCAGGAGTGGCCGTGATGCATTACCTTCAGCAAGTGACCAAGAAGCTGGCTCTCGGCACAGAATTAGCATACCAGTATGGTTCTCAAGTTCCTGGTGGGCACATTGCTGTTTATTCAATGGCCGGGAGATATTCAGGTAAGATTTACTTGGTCTTATTTTAGTTATGATAAATGATTGTAAGAACTCGTGTGTCTGATATAACAGGAATAAACTACATCAATCTGTCTTTTAGCCAGCTGTCTTGTATTGCTTTTAACAAAATTTTGATTTCCTTTCCCAACAGGAGATAATTTCATTGCTTCTGGCACACTAGGAGGTGCAGGTATCCACCTCTGCTATTATCAGAAGGCAACAGAGCAGCTGCAGTTTGGTGTAGAATTGGAAACAAGCTTACGTATGCAGGAATCCGTTGCCTCTATGGCATATCAGTTAGAGATTCCCAAAGCTAATACAGTTTTTAGAGGTTAGTATCTTGTCTTATCTCTTGGCCAACAAATCTTGTGATCATGTGTACTTACTGCTTTGCAAGGTTAATTTTCTTAAGTGCTTTTACAGGAATCAGTAAAACCTCAGCCATTATACTACTGGCAATGTCATGCTGTGTAAAAAAAAGATATATTTGATATAATTGCACATATATATGTAAAACTGTAATTTGCCTTTACAGGGACACTGGACTCTAACTGGACTGTGGGAGCAGTGATGGAAAAGAAGTTGCTACCACTACCATTTACACTGGCTTTGTCTGCCATGCTCAACCATCCCAAAAATCAGTTCAAATTAGGCTGTGGATTTATCATTGGATAATATGAGTGAATGTTGGTGTACAGTAATACGATTGCCAAATGGGATTTGACCGATACCCTTTTCCCTGCACTGGCAGTCTCTGGTGTGACTAGTGTCAAAGGTGTGTGTAGGATATAAAATATTGTATAGGGGTAATGGATTGTAAATAGATCAGGGGAAAATCAGAAAATTACAGTCAGTTGTTAGTGTTCCCACTTGTACTAGGTATTCTTTGTTACAGTGGGGAAAAGAGACAGGTGGTGTGTGTGGGCCAGTGATACAAACCTGTGTTTCTGCCTCCCTTATATTCTTGTGGACTATGGAGGTTTAGAAGAATGGTGTATGTCTGCTACCTTTGTTATCATTCCTTTTGAGAGATGAAACTTTTATTTTGCCCTTCCCTCTGCTAGTTTGGTGCTTTTATTAATGCTACAGTCTGAAATAGTAAAGCAGAAAATGGAAAAAAGAAGTAGAAAGGGACATATCAGGACAAATATTTGTTCTACCAGAATTGCAGCTTTAAATTTGAATTGTTAAGTTTTCCCAGTACATTAACATTTGATAAGGATCATGAAGTGGTGACTGTCAAGTTTTATCCCCCTTTCTTTATAAATAGTGTCCATTGCATTGCAGGCAATTAAACGAACAAGCAAAACTATATGCACATGTTTTAGCCTGAAAGGAAGCCTGCTAATACACAGTAATTCAGTGCTTATACCTACAAGGATTTTCATGGAATGGTAGTTTCCACTTACCTTTCAACAAAACCATAATGTCTTTGTAAAATAGTATATGAAATACTATGTTCTTTATTTACATTTGAATAGAAACAAAGAATCCCCCACATCGCTATGACACAAGCATTGATAAAATGAGGAGGTATTATATTTTGTACATGTATGATACTATAATCAGCTGATTTTATGCTATCCTGTCTTGAAGTGCAGGAAAGCAAAATAATTGTTGTCTCACATAATTATGATCAGATATCTTCTATTCTCTGATCATGAAGTTAAATTGAATGACAGCAAGTATGTAATGTACATTATAAATAACCAGATAAGAGAATATTAAGCTTTATATTAATGTCAGCAGATTGTGTTGTCATAAAAGGCAAAGCTTGGTCCCATTATTTTTAGGTGAGGCATTAAGTGCAGACTGCTTTGGGTATGGCATCTTTGCTGGAGTCTTTTGTGTAATTGCTTCATGGACAAGTTAGTGCCATTATATGGTGCTGGCATATTTAGGAAGTTTTACATATACATCTTCAAAGAAAATAAACATAATAATAGATATACAGGTGTTGTGTGTATGTCGAGTCTTTGTAAATTTACCAGTACTCTGAAGTGATATAGTTCATCTATGTAATAGAATGCACCATTCTGTTATTATTTATAAATGTGATTTTGTTGTCATCTGGGTAGGTTAGGACGACTCCACACTGTAATATGAGTTGAGATGTCAACAGAGCACAGCTCATATGGCATGAGCACATGTACTAGTCTCCAGGGGATAGCAGGGAGAAGGGATGAAGAAGCAGGACCACATCTATCTATTCATAATGATGCTTCTTGACACAGAAAATAAAAAAAATAACTTTGTAGATAATCAGTCAGTATAAGCATCACTTGTTGGCATTGTTTTGATAATTGTTAACAATATGTACAAAACAGACATTTCTTTTACTAAGGATTTGATTTACTTCCCCAAGAAAATTATTGAATTGTATTTTATTGTAAAGTACTACATTTATAATGTTGGTGTAAACCATGACTGATTTAGTTCAAGTATTTCTCTGAAACCAATTCAAAACTTCAGAGCTCCATTGAATATTATTATGCAAAATAAGAAATTAAATGTTTGAAACAAAACTAGGATAGGTAACTAAGGTGAACTGAAAAGAAAATAGAAAGGCATCATTGTTACGCAAAGTATCAGTAGTGGCAGAAGTACTCTATATGCTTTGGGATGAATCTTTTTTTTTTTTACTCCTTTATCCATACAAGAGTAGAAACAAATCATTTATAGTGAATAACTTTCAACAAGTTAAGTTTTTAACACACACAAAATTGATATGCATTTCATCTGTAAATCCAGGAAGTCTCTGCATAAAGATTGTTAATGGTGATAATTACTTCACATTTACCTTTCATCACATGTACTTTCTCATTTACAATATTTTAAGTAGATTGTTATTCAAAGTTTACTTACAGATACTGATTATATCTTACAACCCATAATAATGGTAGGTGCAGTATGACCTTAGATATCTAGCACATTTATTTTGCTTTTAACCATTAACCATGGAAGGTACAAGATGTTTCTATATTAATTACCAGTAATCACATACACTACCACAGCAATGAGCAAACAAGTGGATTTAATGCTATCGAAGTCCCATCTTAGAATGTAGTACTTTATATTGTTACACTTGGCCAAGTCACCTGTACTTATCACAGATATTACTTTTAAAGTAATTTCGAAATTTGATTGTTTTCTCAATAGAAAAGTGAAAAGCAGATATGATATAACATATTATACACTATACCAGTGGGTCAGGTGTTGAGAACAAATTTCATTTGAGGAAATCCACTAGACCAGAATATGCAGTAAATTACATTAGTTTTTCATTCAATGTTCTCTGTAAATTATAACTCCTATGTATGGTTACCTCAGAGAATGCATCACTATCTACTTAGAACTTTATTGGGTTCTGTAGTAAGACCTAAAATTACAGTAGACATTTCCTCAAGGGCAAAATTAGATAAAAGTTAAAATAGCAACTGCTGTTTACTACTTATTGCTCATTATCCTTCAACTTAGATGTCTAGCACATTTATATCGCTTTTAACCATTAACCATTATCCTTCAAACACTTACAGAGCACAATTCATCTTGGTGTGATATTTGAAGATGTGTAAGCAAAGTTAATACCAATCCACAGGGACTGTTATTGATTTCAGCTAGCATTTATAACACAGTTGATTAATGAAACACTAAACAGAATGATACATTCTTTCTCAGCCTTAGGTTGGAATTACAAAAGTAATATATCAAAATATATGAATATGAAAATGCATTTAAATTAAGGGCACCTTCTTTAATCTCTTACTATTCTGTTACTGGCTGATGTTATTTTGACTTATCTTGCTGTATACCAGTATGGAAAATTAGAATTGAAATTTTAGTTATGGTCTTTGGACCTATCAAAAATTTAATGCAGATTTTCAAGAAGTTAAAGGGGGGATTTTATATATATATATATATATATATATATATGTATGTATAATTGTAACACAAACAAATATTACATATTAGACTAAATATCATTTATGTTGAAACTATAAAAATTATACCAGATATAGTAAACTTCAGTAAACAATTACCTAGAAATATTCAAGAAAGGTAATTTCAAACAATTAAAAGATAAAATAACTTTTATTTTGAAGAACATTTAATATCTCACATTCTTCTCTAGTACTAGAACAATATCACTTCCCACTAAGATCTTGAAGCTTTGATGTCAAGTAACTATAGATATTATCTAGAGCAAGAGACTCTGTTAGGGTAAGCTCTGAACAGGTTGGGATCGACGGTGCATCTAGTAGCATCCTGCAATTCTGAGCCGCTCTTCTCTGGTAATGACACTGGCTCTGTTCATTTTTCTTGATGCCATGAAGGTGTGCAAGCCATGAGTACAGCAACGCCTTCAGCATGACACCTACCAACTCCCATCCTCTGTTTTCCAACACTTGGGCATATTTCACCCATGACAATGCTTGGTCTAACCTGTATCAACAATAAGAGCAAATATATAGTATCAAAAATCAACACCTAAGTATAGACCAATCTTATTACAAGCTTGGATTACACATTAGTGTAAAAGTCTTACCTAACACATACTTTCAGGGCCTCCACCTCCTTTCCCAACTTAACCAGAGCATCAATCTTTGTCAGACATCCTGCAGCGGTGGTAAAAATTCTTAGCTTCTCTTTCCCATCCTTTTCATAGGCATTACATTTTTCCTGTTCCAAATCTTGGGGAGAGGAAGAAAAATAGTTATAGTATAATCATTTACTTCAACAGGATGGGTCAACAAACTGCCAAATGAATTTATTTGACAGTAAAATGAAGAAATCTACCTGAAAGTCTTGTATATTAATTTGTGATACTGACATGTTTACAGGAAAATCTCATAGTTTTACAGATGAATAAAATTAAATATCCATTAGTTGAATAGAATTAAAGATGCATATCCATCATTAGCAATAAATCAATATTTTGACAAAGAATCCAGCTCGATCCATTCAATTTTACATAATTAGTGAATGATATCAAGTATCAAACACTCGCTCCTCTCAGCATTTTTCTTTGTAGTCCAATAATTCTCAGGGTGATCGAACATTGAGAATTTCATTTTCATTATTACAGGGAAGGTTACTCTTCAGAATGGCAACTTTGCTTTCTGGATCCGTTGTATTACCTACATTTTAGTCAAGGAACTGCTTTCTACCAAGTCCCACTAGTAAATCTCCAGGTGGATGGGTTACTTTCATTGTGGCAGTCATAGGAGATATGGAATGAGAACAATTCCAAGCTGATCTCTATGCAGATGTGCCTTATTTTGAAAATACATTATTCAAAATCTGCATGGTAAACTTTATCTACGCTCCTTGAAAGTGACACTTCTAAATATTCAGCAAATTATAAATGGTAAGGATAATTTCATCTGAATATTAGCAAATAATTCATGAGAAAAAGAAAAGGAAAAAAGTTTAAAGTAAATACATTAGGAAAAAAACACTGCTTTACTTGCCAGTTATTGAAGATGTAAACTAGTGTCTTATGGAATTGTATATTTTTTGTAGTCATTTAGACAAGGTACTAAAATTCTCTTCAGTCACTAATAAAGGCTTTTCAGACTTTAAAAAGTAGTGATTGTTGTGTTTCCAAAACTTTTTAATTCATAAATGAACCTTATGGAAGGGTTCAGTCTTTTCTGTTAACAGTAAAAATTTCATTAGGTTGAAATTTACCTTATGGTCTTGAGAAATAATTCTCAAACCCCTTTACTGCATTATCGTCCCTGGTTTATAGCTCAAAACTGCAATATTAGGTTCTCCCTGGACCCTACATTACCATCATCCATTCATCTACTAAGTATTTTGAATGTACTATGTATAGGAGTGTAGATATTAAAAATTAATACTTATTTAGGAAATTGGAACTATGCTGCTTCTTAAGTCAGGTTAACACTAGTACATCTAAGCATTACTATGGAAGTATAACGAGTCAAAATTTTATCCCATATATTTTTGATGAAAAATATAATGAAATGGATACAAACTTAACCATAGACTATGTACTAGTAATTTAGTACTACTAGTTTAGACCAATAAACCAAGCCCCGGCTATCAAGATACAAACTTTCCATTTCTATATATAATTTGCATTCAGGCTGAAAAAGTAATATGGAAAACTATATTTCTTTTCCAATAATTTCTTCAAGCTTTTAAGAATCTCAGCCCTCAAGGTACTGTCCTTATTATGTAAAATATGAAGTGCTTAACATTCACCTTCACTATCAATCTGCTGCAAGATTTCATGAGCAGAGTGAATATTCTGGTCTCCCAGATGAGCAATGGCAGCTTGAACAATCACAGTTTCCTTACAAGGTACTTCAGGAACTTGGTCTTCACTCTGCAGCCAGGCACTGCCTTTAGCAGTTATTGAAGATTTCACTGTTGAGTTCTCTAACCTTTCTAATAGGACTGAAAACTTGCTACTTGCCTCTTTGTGCATCTGTTGACATTGGGGTTGTCAGATAAAGAAGTATATCAATGTTCAAAATCCTCTCACTTTTATTGAACTTGAACACTGCAAAACATTTGCTTCTATCTATTCAATGCTAGCATGTTGACCAATAATGTAGCTGCAGGACAATCCTTACAAAACTAACCAATTCATATTTTTTATAAAATATTTAACTTATAGAGAAATTCATTAGTCCTCTGATAGATAGAAACCCTGTTTGTCAAGGACATAATAATCCAAACTTTACTCACAGAATATTAATATTCAGGTCATGAAACAAAGCAACTATATTCTCATGTGCAAATTGTTTGCACAGCCATATCCAAGCAACCGGGCATGCTCTGAGGGGTATGAATGGTAATCTGAGGTGAGTGAAGCAACATGCACACCAGTGGAATGACCAGGTTATGAAAAAGCAGAATATGGCCACACTGCATTTTAACAATAGGAATAGGAATGTCTAAAACCTTGTCCACAATAGAGTGCTCATGGTCAAGCAAAATGAGGCCATCTGCTTGGTAGTTTGCTGTTGGGTATGGATCAAATACTACCAGACACAAGCAACCCCCAAATTATGACCAGAGTTTGCCAGACATGGTCTGATTGTGTTGACAAAACCTAATGATTTTTCTGGTAATGAATGCTAATGCCAACTAGGCATGCAAAATTGTGAAGACATAGCTTAACCCAATGACAGGAGAGCCCTACTGCTATACTGAATGTTTCAGGTTGCAAGCAGTCAGCTGCTTGATGGAAAAATCAGGTGGTCATACCGCATCTAGCATTTATTTTTTGAAAATTTTCTGACATGCCAACATCTAAAGCCATTTGCAGTGTATACAAAATATAGCAATAGGGCTGGTTATACAGCTTTATTACAAAGTATTGCAGCAAAAAGGTTAAGAAATTACAACAAAATATGTTTGAACTTGTAGCAAAGGTTGTAGTGCTGTAAGTCAGTATAACAGTGAAAAGGATAAGATGAAATAGCAAACAGAGTTCAAAGGCCATTCAGGACTGACAAAGCCAGCCTTTCGTCCTTATCAACACACCTCCCTCACATTAGGATGTGGACAGATGGGGATGAACAAAGGAAAAAGAAAGATGGAAAAAAAAAAAAAAAAAAAAAACATGCAAAATTAGTTGAAGCAATGTTTAATGTTTGGAACAAATAAATGTGCTAGACATCAAAGGTCATATAGCACTATGGTAAACTAAAGTGTCTGAGAGGGTAAAAAGGAATTAGGATAAAATGTGTTAGATGCCAAAGATTTGAGCATTATAGGATAGTATGGTAGTGAAAAGGGAAAAAAGGGGAGTAAGTGAACTACAGCAGAGATTAGCAGAAAGGAGAGAGTTAAGGGGGTAGGGCAATTGAGTGAATTACACTATCTGTCACTGGGGTAGGTATAGGAACAATGTTCAAGGAAACTAAAGATAGCTCTTGGAAAAGTAGGAGAAAAATCTGGGAAGGAGAGGGGGAGTGTTAGAATTCAAAGATTAGAGGGTGTTATAGGAAAGTATGGTAATGAAAAGGGAAAAGAGGAAAGTAAATGAAGTAGAGCAGGAATTAGTAAAATGGGAAAGGTTTAGGGTGTAGAGTGAGTGAAATCCATTGTATCTGCGACTGGGGAAGGAATAGGGACAATATACAAGGAAAACAGAGGTGGCTGTTGGAGAAGTAGGAGAACAATCCGGGGGATGAGTAAAGGGGACTGGGGAAGATGGTGGTGGTGAAGTATCAGAAAGAATGTGTGGACGATGCTATTGTGAGAGTATTCAAGTGGGAGTGGTAGAAAGGGCAGGGTATGTTGGGAGGGTGTAGGGTACTTGAGGAGGATGGACATCTGCAAATAGCAGTAAGAACAGAGGGATTGGGGGTTGGATAAGGAAATGAAGTCTTCCCTTGACATCATATTTACGAAGTTTTGGATATCTTCAAGGGTTTCTAGAGAGAATCGAGTGAAGAAGACAAACAAAGGTTCTCTTATGAGGAGAAAAGGAGGAAGGTGTAGTAGAGGATGCAGTAGAAGAGGGTGGAGTGGAACGATTAGGTTGCATGGTACGACAAAGTGATGAGGAGGGGTAGGTATCGGGGAATGTGGTAGAGATTGGAGTATCTGAATTTAGGCCGGAAAACGAATTTACCTGGGGGATATGGTGAGTAGAGGTAGGATATTTCAGGGTATAGGGAAAAGAATGAGGGGGAGATGCAGAAAGATCTTGTGGAGATGGTGGGGGAGCCGAGCGAAGGATTGTTCTGGAAGAAAAACCTCGTCTCCATGCTTCTTGTATGGCCACAAGTAGAATGGGGCCTAGTTTGAATCTGTGGACTGCTACCTCAGAGGTGCTTATAGGTATGGCAGCACCTATAAAATACATAATAGGAGCTTCCACTATAGACATATGCAAGTGACTCAGCATGGCAATTTGAAGTCATGACCAAGTTGGGCACAGAGGGCAGTGAGCTGTGGAGCGACCATTTGGCTGGGTGGCCAAAAAGACAATATTTCTGACATTGATGAGGAAGGGGTTCATACTGCCGGACATGGTAGGACAATCCACCAATATAAACTTCGTGGGGGTTGCCATGTTTACAGAAGCTAATCTTGGAAATACTGACAGGGGACTTGCAATGGCCTCTGGGAGGAATAGTGTAGCACTGTACTGCCACTGCATCTTGATCAGCAAGGCAGGTAAAATGGTAATTTTCAGTCTAACCAACCCTTGTTGTAGATGGGACATGCATTTGGGAGGATAGAAATGGTTCCGGTAGAAGTATTAAAAGAGGGGCCAGGTTTGGCAGGAACGAGTTTGCCAGTGAGGTCATTTGGGGTTGATAGTGCATGAGCTTGGGATTCAGATGTAACTGTGACAAGGCTTGAATGATCAGAAAGACTGCGACAGGTAACCTTGCCTACTTGTTTTTGGAGGCACTGTTGAAAGAGAAGGGTATTCTCAGAATAGGGGGCTTTGGGGGGAATAAATGAATCAATCTAATTTGGTTCATCCAAAGAGAGTACTCAAAAAGTTTGCAGAGGTAGAGAGGAAGATGGGGTAGTTCAGTCTGTGTGTGTGTGTGTGTGTGTGTGTGTGGGGGAACAAGGATGAATAGTAGTAAGGGAAAAGGGTTAATGGTTCAAAGCAAAAAAATTTGCTCTACCTTTAAGGTCATATAGCACTATAGGAAAGTCTAAGGGAAAAGGGGGTAGACATTGACGAGGACTGCAGTAAATGATGAGAGAGGAAAGGGCGCTTTCTAGATGTTAAACTGGGTAGGTGGTTCAGAATGGATAGAGTTGTCAGTAAGCATTGAAGAGGGGTACTAGTATCAGTGGTTGGAGCCATGGTCAAAGGAGGGGCAGGAGTTGAAAAACCATCAAAATCAAATTTAGATACGTTAGATAAAAGGCCAAGCCTTGATGCCCCTGTTAATGGTAAAGAATAATTATTGGCCATGGTGAGCCTAATAAAATGGGAAAAAAACTGTACCCATCAGGGCTAAAGGTTAAGCAATAAACCAAGGGAATACCAAGCCCATGGCTCCTGGAGGCCCTTCATGACTAGAGAAAGCCAGCTTTTCATCCTTTCAGCACAACTCTCACATCTTCCGAATAAGATAGAAGAGGATGACAACAGCCCAAGGTAGAGGTGATCCCTACAGTGGGCCCCAGTCTCTCTCCTAAGCCCTCCCATGACAATGAGCAAAGTACTGGGAGGGTAGTCGAGGCAAGAGCCAAGGTCCAAGGCAGGGGTGATCCCACACATGGGCCCCCATCTGTCACCTAAGTCCCCCACCCCCCTCCCACAGCAGCAGCAATGGGCATGGGATTAGGGGATTATTTATTGGGAAGTTTCTGAATCTTCTGGCATGATTGGATTGATCTATATTCTCAATGTGATCTGCCTGGTGTGCAGAACCCTTTGCACACAACTAAGGTATACCTGCATCAATAAGTGGCCAGACAGCTAGTAGTAACCTAAATTAACAGTAGGTGGCATAATGCAGCATGACCAAAATAGTACTATTTTCCTTGGCAATAGCTATGGACATTCCACTGGTTTGCCGGTTGATTGGCTTTAAGCCCTGTCCACACAAGCAGGCACAATCAGTGACCATGAGCAGACATTTCACAAAGAAATTGGTCTGTAAATCAGCAGTTTTGGTAGAGGTTGAAGAGGGCGACGTGCGTAGACAGTAAAAATGACACCATCTTATAGAGCGGGAAAAAGTTTTATCTTTCTTGGCTGCGGTCTCCTTTATAGTTGCCTGCTTATCATGGTTGCTTGTGTGGACAGGACTTTACATGCATGGTTATGTGAAGATACCAAGAATTTACTTTGCTAAAATCTGTTTCCAACCCTCCCTACATCTCCAAGAATTTATTATATCACTATATTCCCAATGCTAAATTTTGCCTTTCATGGTAAGTATACTGTGTAAAAATGCAATCAGTCCTGAGTATGCTTAATTCTGATCCTTGAAGAGGTAAAAGGCAAAGCTTTAATGTTCACCTTAATCTGTAGGCAGCGAGCTGCTAGCAGGAATTGAGCCCGCATCTGTAAATCGGCAGGTCTGGTCTGGTAGAGACCCAAGAGAGCAGCCTGGAGATTAGGGCAGCCTAGACACTCATTTTTCTCCTCCCTACCCTAGGGATGAAGGAATGTGCAGTCTTGCTTTTGTTTTTATAATTGTTTTGCTTTAGTTTTTCACTATCAGCTTAATAGGCATGTAATTCTATGCTTATTCAAATTGTACTATGAACATAGATAGTCTTTATAAAAGTGTACAGTATAATTATGCACAACAAGTCAAATTCTAAATATGCACAACACATTTTCGTATATTATAAAATCCATAAGCTGTATATGTATTGCCCCACCAAAAATAAGGAATATTAAGGAAAATCAAAAATCTCGTATTGTTTTATTGATAGAAAATAACACCACAGAGCAGTGAGGCTCTGGTGGCTGGATATAATATTGATATGGTTATCTGAAATGTGGTTACAAGGAAATTTGGCGGGTGTGCCACAGCTCCCAGTAAGGTACTATCACTGTGATGGGAAACATGTCAACCCTACCACAGTGGTAGTTCCTACCTAGGACACTTGGCTACATGTAAGTGGATTACAAGTTCAAATCTCCAGTCACCACCACCTGCTGCTGCTCCTCAAAGCAAAGAGTATAAACATGTACTCACCTTCTCCAGCAAGCACCAGAACCAAGAATAAGGAGAGCCGGGTTATGCTACTGCTGATTATGCCAAAGCTAAATGGATGAGTGTGAAATCTCTAGTCATGACTAGGAAATCAACATGCACCAGAGACACACCCATCCATAACACTCAGCTCTCTTCAAGTACTGGGAGGACTGGACTAGATGTACTTGCCTTAGTGCAAACACTAGCTTATCATTACACAAAGAAAGTAATAAACAAAGAAATGCATGTCACTGGTACAGCCTATAACATGACTGTTCCAGGAATGCTCTACCTTAAGGATGGATTTTATAAGAAGTGGCCACGGCTGACTGGTCTAATTCTGTTGGGTCAGTGTAGTAACTAGTCTAAAGAGTTGTTCTTACAACAATCTGAAGGCAAAGCACTCATCCTAGCTTAGTGCATCCATACTGTAGGGACCTCCTTAAGGATTTGATATTACTTAATGTTACAACTAAGTCATGACAAATGTATAAATAAATTTATTGACCGACTATTGCATAGCTAAATGAAATGGTTAAATTTTAGGGATTTAATATCAATTTTCCTTGCAGATACAGCCAAACCTACTGTAGACAAAGTATTTACGATACAAAAGAGCAAATTGACAATATCTAGCATTACGTACCTTTTCACAGCAAACAATGCATTCTCCCAGTACCAACTATTGTACTATACACAAGTTTTCTCTGGATACTTTTAAAGTTACATAACATCTTAAAAATCTAACCCAATTTCCTTTGACGAGGCCTATTACTATACTTACCGCTGCTAATAATGCCAGACACTCGAGTTCTGCAGTAACCATATCTGTCTGATGAAAGATGCGGGAAATGTTATAGACTGCAGGGAGACAGGCCTCGCATGCCTTCACAGCTGCCTCAAACTTCAGCATAGCTGTATGAGGCTTCCCAAGCTTGGCCAAGCCTAGCCCTGTCAGCCACAACACACAGCCCTCTAATTCTGTTCCACACAGACTCCTAGGGATAGTCTCCAAGATCCGAAGGCTACTGGTAAAGTCTTCCTTCCTGTACAGTCCTACCGCCTGTAAAAAACTGCAAAGTACTCCTAAGTAAGTATTCCCAGCACCTGAACCTCTCCCCAACCATCCACACTGCTGCACCTCTGCGGACAGGAGAAGGAAAGAATTAAAGGGCAACAAGCTATCCTTGTAGTCTACCAGCCATGCTGGGACAGAGGAAAGCCCATCCCATTTTGAATCTAAAGGCAGAGTTCTTAGCTTCTCCAATGGGAGGCTATCATCAGGGAGGAGGTTAGCATGAAGCAGAACCATGGCGGTGAAAGTTCCACATTTCCGCCGTTCATGCTGAGCATGAAATAATGCATTCATGTCATCTCCTTCCATTTCCTCACAATCTGGAACAAAGGAAACATTTCTTACACAAAGATCACAAATACCAACGTGTATATTATATACATATACATATTTTCCTCACACAAGGGCTTAAAAACAAAAACACCAGGTAAATGCTTACACTTTCTAATGAAGTCCGCCACAAGACCACGAAGGAGAACACGGTCTATGTGCGATGGCCAGCATAATGCACTATAGAAGAGGTTCATCATAACCCCACATTCCTCTCTCCAATTCTCCACATATCCTGGTTGTCTCAACATGTTCTTTGTTACCTCCAGGGTGAGAGATGCAAGAGGTTCCCGAGTCTGAAACAGAACATCTGAATTCAGTCTGCATCTTTAAATGTGCTTGGATGCATAGGCCTACCAAAAAAAAAGTACACGGGGCTAATACCGAGAATCGGAAACATTTTCCGAAGTTCAATAAGGCCCTAGTCAAGAAGAGCGCACGAGAATGGGCTTCGCGTCAGCTCCCACACGCCTTGCCTTCCAACCCACGCCGCCAACAATGCGGGTAGGCCTACCACCTTATTCTAACAAAGACAAATTTAAAATAAGCTGCCTCTTCAAATGCAAGATCTCTAAAGAAGCGAGGTCTCTACGGCACAAAGAACGCTTATCCCGCCAGCAGGAAACCATCGAACTCCTCAAGGTTCCTTCCCCTCCAGAGAGGAGATGGGGGGAGGGGTAAAGTTTAACTCGGGAAAATCTTACAAGTTTAAATATTCCACTTCAAATGTAGCAGGGTGTACTTCCCTAACAAGCATTTTTTCTCGACTTACCATGGGCGCTGTGCGGATTCGTGCGAGCGTGGGCGGCGGCGTCCTGGGGCGACTCGGGCGCAGTGGCGTGGGTTTGAACTTGTCCGCCGCCGCCGCCACGACCGTTACCACGCCACTCCTTTGTTCCGCCGCGCCGCCCCCCGCCGACGCCACTACTCTCCTCTTCCTCTGTGCCTCCTCGCCTTCCTCGTCGTCCTCCCATCGCCTCTTCATGATGAACGTTCTCTTACCTCGATGTTGGTGTTGGTCTCACAGACGGGGCGTGCAGGGTGTGGGCGTGCACGTGCAATAATGAGGCACGATGGTTGCTTGCTCACTATCCCACGCATGCTTTCCCGCGCCAGAGACGGCGACATCTGGTGGCCGCCGGCAACACCTTCGGAGTGACGTCATTGTCCTCCGTCTGCCATCTAGCGGCTGTCCCTTACTCGACTGTGACGTCACTACTATCGCTACATATCTCGGCTAGGAGATTAACTTTGAATTTGATAACTTTTCCATCGGATTCCTAGAGGCCTATCTTCACTTTAAAACACCATTACTCTTCCCCAAGAGAAAGCCGAAGCACGAAAATCTAGCTAGCATCTTTTCTGACGTCATCAAGCTTTATTTTCTAAGACGAGTCAGAGACATCTAGCGGACGCTAGAAATGTCCTGAATGACGTCATCATTTGGGTTCATTTTGTATCCTATTTAATGATATGAATTAAATGCTTAGTTATGTTTGAATTCTACAAAATTAAAATGATCGAAGGAAACTTTTGAAATTAATGATACAGTCATATATGTAATGTGTTTACACAATTAATTTTAATCTCAATAATAATGATAAAGATTTTTCCAGTTACAAAAAATAAATCCCTACTGATGTAACAAAAGACAAAGTATTTCACATGAAAATAGTAAAACAAAAAACTAAAACGTAAAAATGCAGTTACAAAAAAATCTAAAGATGTACTACCCGCGGTCCATCCTTGAGCGGGAAAGGTAAACAAAATTTTCGATGGATTTGAAATAATTGTTTATACTTCCCAATTTTATGTCAGTTTTGATTATAGTTAAGCTTAGCTTCAATATCCAGGATATCCTGACCTATTTCTCATAATGTATGGAAAAAACTTTGTATGAAGTCATAATGGAAACATACCCAGAACTTATGATGGATTTCAAGATGAAAAACCAGCAAGTTAGATTTAGTTAGAAAACGAATTTAACAAAAAAGGAAAACTCCAGTTCATGATTGTTTCAACAGGAAAGCGTGATTCTTGCCCGAAGTTAGAAGTAAAACGCACCGCCAATTTGATGTCGAACGCCATACCAAAATTGTCAACTGCTGGCAAGGTTTATTGTCTTTGACTTATTCCAGCACCTAAGAAAATAAAGTTTAGGTAAATCACTAAGACAATATCTGAGGTATTGGAGGTCTCATTTTCATACATTCAAAGCTAAAATTCACAGTTGCAAAGCAAAGAGTTCAGGAAAGCCCTTGAAGATAGTTACTGTGATCAGTTTGGATGCAGTTTACTCCCAGGGAATAATTCAGTAATTGTTCTTCCTCTCTTCCAGAAATAAGAAACATGTCATCCAAAAGTAGCCCTAGGGTCGCGTTTATCACAGATCTGAAACTGCTTGCACTCTGTGATCGTGTGCCCATCATAAGACATAGGGTAACCTCTACTTCTGCTTGAGTCAGTTCCAGAAAAATTAGATTATTTTCCTTTTTGTTCTGTTATTATATTTTAGAAGTGGCAGGTTTCTAGCCAGTGTTCTTTATTTGATATAACCAATGCATGACAGGCTAAGAGAGATGTGACTAGTTACTATATGATGAAAGTTTTTATTCTGAAGCAAATTGATGTCTCCCGGGTCAATTTCTTCTATCAATTGATTTTATATTGCACAGGCAAGCATCACCAACAGCCTCATCTGTGCCTATAACTTGCTTGATAAAGTTACAGTCATCCCATCCGTCCCTGCCACTGAGGAGGATATCAGGGGGTTTCACTCAGAGGAGTATGTGGAGTTCCTGAAGACTGCTGAGGCAGACAGCGAGGATGTGACAGAGGATGAGTTTGGCTTAGGTAAAGAAGAGGAAAGAGAACCGTTACCGAATGATGAATTATTTTGATTTTTTTAAGTATATTAAAATGGTCAAGGGTTGGCTGTTATGAAGCATGAATGTATATTAGGCAGTGGTATAGCCAAGGGAGAGCACACTTCCATCTTTAAAGGTTTATGAATTGTTTTAACTTAATATATAATGTTAAACAAGTGACTAATATTAGTCTTTGGTAAAACAAAAAAATTAAGGTGTTCAAGGCATGGGAGAAGTGTGACAGATCCTCCTCGAAAGCTGTGTGAGCCTAACCCATATTTCATCACAGGCATCTCCCTGCTCTCATAAATTTCTGGATGTCACTGATGTGGCATTTTAAGCATGACATGAATTACTGAAATAAGATGATTATAAAATGAATATTAGTATTACCTTGATATAGTTTTTCATTTTGCTAGTAAATGGTTAGTGATTTGTAATGATGATATCTAGCAAATATGAGAAATAAATGAAAGTTTTATTGTCTTGTAGGAAGTTATATTTAATTCCTCACATTTTTTGAGTTTCCTCATATTTCTTTTGACTATGCACTGTAGTCAAAACAAGGTTATAGCTGAACTGTATCTCAACATGGTTTGACTGTCCTGTGATCGACAATTTATGGCCCATGGTGTGCCAGATTGCAGGGGCTTCACTAACAGCTGAAAGTTTTATTGTCTTGTAGGAAGTTATATTTAATTCCTCATATTTTTTGAGTTTCCTCATATTTCTTTTGACTATGCACTGTGGTCAAAACAAGGTTATAGCTGAACTGTATCTCAACAGGGTTTGACTGTCCTGTGATCGACAATTTATGGCCCATGGTGTGCCAGATTGCAGGGGCTTCACTAACAGCTGCTCGGGCTCTTACCTCAGGTCAGGCGACATATGCAATAAACTGGTATGGAGGATGGCATCATGCACAGAGGTATGAAGTCAAATATGTATGTAGTAAATAGGATATGGAAACATGAAGAATATTTGTCTGAATGAAAGTAACTTGTTGAGGTTTCATAAGCATTTTACATCCAACAGAGATTCTGCTTCTGGGTTTTGTTATGTGAATGACATTGTCTTGGCTGTACGTCAGCTTCGTGTCAAGTTTGACAAGATTCTTTACATCGACTTGGATGTTCATCATGGTCAGTGTTAGAATAGATGATAGAGAGTAATTTATCTGATGTAAGGAGAATAACTAACAGATAGATATACAGCTATAGATTATTATTGATATTATTAATACTGATGGTAACTAATATGATAGCAACATGGATGAAATATTTTATGATGTTCTGATTGATAATGGTATTAGTAATTTAAGAATCATATTAAAAAACTTGGAAGTCAAACAAACATACTCTGTGATTTCATGGATATGCAATGTATTATCATGCATGAAATTGTAATGTGATATTAAAAAGGAACAATCCCCTATATCAGTTTAGCCAGCCATTTTTGTATTACCAGTTGTATGATTTTGATAAATCAAAATAAAGAATTACCTTTTGACAGTTTTATAGATATTATTTTAATGGCTAATTAAAACAACAGGAGATGGAGTAGAGAATGCCTTCCTCTTCACCCCAAAGGTGATGACGCTTTCATTCCACCAGCTGGAGGCAGGGTTCTTCCCAGGCACAGGAGAGAAACATGATGTTGGCTGTGGCAAAGGGCGCCACTACACACTTAATGTACCATACAGAGTGGGGATAAATAACAAGCAGTTCATTTATTTGTTTGAAAGGTTGGTAGTTGCTAGAATGTTTGAGTAGTTGAATGTAAATGTTTTCTCTCTGTTTCTCTCTGTTTCTCTCTCTTTCTCTCTCTCTCTCACTCTCTCTCTCTCTCTCTCTCTCTCTCTCTCCTCTCCTCATCTCTCTCTCTCTCTCCTCTCTCTCTCTCTCTCTTCTCCTCTCTCTCTCTCTCTCTCTCTCTCTCCTCTCTCTCTCCTCACTCTCTCTCTCTCACCTCTCTCTCTCACTCTCTCTCTCTCACTCTCTCTCTCTCACTCTCTCTCTCTCACTCTCTCTCTCTCACTCTCTCTCTCTCACTCTCTCTCTTCTCACCTCTCTCTCACTCTCTCTCTCCTCTCTCACTCTCTCTCTCACTCTCTCTCTCTTCTCTCACTCTCTCTCTCACTCTCTCTCTCCACTCTCTCTCTCTCACTCTCTCTCTCTCACTCTCTCTCTCTCCATCTCTCTCTCTCACTCTCCATCTCTCTCTCTCTCACTCTCTCTCTCTCCTCTCTCTCTCTCTCACTCTCTCTCTCTCACTCTCTCACTCTCTCTCTCTCTCTCACTCTCTCTCTCACTCTCTCTCTCACTCTCTCTCCTCACTCTCTCCTCTCTCACTCTCTCCCTCTCACTCTCTCCTCTCACTCTCTCTCTCCACTCTCTCTGTCTCTCTGTCTCTCTGTCTCTGTCTCTGTCCTCTCTCTCTCTCTCTCTGCTCCTCGTCTCTGTCTCTGTCTCCTGTCCTCGTCTCTGTCCTCTGTCTCTGTCTCTCTGTCTCTGTCTCTGTCTCTCTGTCTCTGCCTGTCTCTGTCTCTCTGTCTCTGTCTCTTCTCTGTCTCTGTCTCTGTCTCTGTCTCTGTCTCTGTCTCTGTCTCTCTGTCTCCTCTCTCTCTCTCCTCTCTCCTCCTCTCCTCTCTCTCTCTTCCTCTCTCTCCTCTCTCCCTCTCTCTCCTCTTCTCTCATCTCCTCTCTCTCTCTCTCTCTCACTCTCTTCTCCTCTCCT